GATGTAACCGATTTCTTTCGTCAATTTAATATCATCGCCGCTATCAATAATTTCAACGAGGATACAAAAAGAGTTGTGTTGTCGGCATATTTGAGTGGACCTGCATTGTCATTTTATAAAAATATTAATGAGTCTTGTGAGAATTTTCAGATTTTAGAAAAGAAAATTTGTGAGGAATTTCCATCATCGATAAATGCGTTGGAAAAATTTTTCTCACGAAGACAAGGCTTGTCAGAAGAGCCATTGCACTATTTTTATGTATTGGATGAGCTGGCCACAAAAGCGGGAGCTGTCATCGATGACAAATGCTTCATTAGACAGTTCTTGAAAAATGCGAATTTAAATACAAAAAATCTTTTCGCATTTCAGTTATATAGTGATAAAACACATTTGAGAAATGTTTTACGACAAGCGCAGGACATTTTTGAGGACGAAAGCGTCGAAATTGGTTGGAATCTGCCGATCCAACCATCGTTTGCTCACTTCGAGGCGACGAAAATTTCGCATATAATAAGGCATGAAGAGGAACAGGAGAAGGAGATCAACCTCATTTCCTCCCAAAGTGTCCCTTCTCATCCCATTGTCCCTCCCGAACACATGATTCCCCGCACTTTTTGTTCCAGTAACACGAACAAAAAGAAGCTTAAACCAAAGAAGAAGAAGCAAATGAAGAAAATTTTTTATGAAGAAGATTCAATGAAGATGGCTGATAAAGAAATTCACCATTCACAGCCGTCAGAAAAAAACAATCAGCATACAAGTGAGTCCAAACCTTTAATTAATATAATGTGTCGTGATAAGGAGTTTGTAGGGCTCATTGATAGTGGTGCTGCAGTGTCTGTGGTGTCGAAGGACACAGTAAGTCGAATTCATCAACAAATTGATGAAAGCGATATGAAGTTGAAAGCTGTCGATGGTAAAGAATTGTCTGTTATAGGGAAAGTCAACCTTAAATTATTGATAGACAATGTGTTATTCATTCACGATTTTCTTGTGGTAGAGAATATTAGGCATAACCTCATCTTAGGACAGGATTTCTTACTTCGAAATAATGCGATAGTAGACTTTTATAATGAACAATTAATAATCAAACATATTAAGTGCAAGTTTAAAAGACAATATATACAAAAGAATAATGAAAGGAATAGTGATAATTCGGTGTATGATGAAAATTTATATTATGCCGAATAGGTTGATAGTATTATAATATTGTGTTACTAATGAGATTTTATTTCAGTTTATTGTTTATATGAATGTTTTAAAGCAATGGTGGTATGTAAATAAGCTTCAATACAATAGTCATTTTAGAATTTTATTTCAAAAGCATATTAAATATAACTTTGTCATTATATTAGAAATTTTTTTTTAATATACATATTATAAGGAACTTTTACACATTTTGTTTATGACAGATCAATGGGTAGTTTCATTAAAGTATTTTCATTTCTTTTAATTGTTAGCTTTAGTGTAATTTGTTGAGTAGATGGATTATTGATATGGTAATAACCATAAGAATGATAGGTAACAGGTTCGATTCTCTGTTCAACTTGGAATTATTCAATTGACTTTGAATATGATCATAGATAGGATTAATTCAGTATTAGGATAGAATATATATAGTTAATAATGTATAATAGGATAATATAGGTCCATAAAGAAAATTCCCTCATTATAAAAAAAGGAAACGGGTTCGATTCCCTGTAAGGTTAAAAAAATAAATAAATAAATGAATAATAATGTTATACTTTGAAAATTTACCCAACTATGGAAAAGAGGCTATAAAGATTTATCATAAATGTTTTCTTGAATATTAACTTACCCGACTGAAGAAAAATGGTGTAAAGAATTTTACTAATATTTTCTTGATTGTTTTATGTACTACCACATGATGCGGACTTCCCGAGAGAGAGCAGGCTGGCGCTCATGCAGACGTCAGCGATACTGACGATGATCCACCCTGAAGATGATGGAGACACCCTCTACGAATTCGCGTCGTTTTCGTTTCAATTTGGTCGCGTCGCGTTCGTCAAAATCGTCACTTGTAGTAGTTTGACTTGGGGGTAGGGAACCCTTAGTATTCCATGGGAATTGGGTTTAATCTTGTTTGATGCTAGATGTCCTTACCCAAAATTTCTATTACGTTTGCGCATCATGGGTGTCTAATAAAGTACAAGACAATAAAGTGGTGGACCACGTCTGTATCTTTATTAAAGATGTACGAAAGTAAACATTATTTATAAATTCTTTTAGGTTTTGCTCAAATCCAGTTAACGTTTACGAATCTTAGGAAATAGTTTGAATTTCGTTTCGTACATCTACTTAGTATGGGAAGTAATGAAGTTTCAAAATATAAATTTTCTTGATATTTAATGGTTTAATAAATGGGATAGGGTAAAGTTTTGCTGATAGATGGGATAAAATAAAAATTTGCTTGGGTAATTTAAGTTATAGCTAGGGTTAGCTTTGTTTTTTTGTTTTTGCCGACTGATGTCGATGTAAAGTAAAGTAAAGTTAAGGTTAGGAGGGAGATGTGCGAGGGATTTTGTTAAGGTTTTGCTCCCGTAAAGTCTTTGCAATAAAACTTTGCAAACAGTTAGGGTTCTTTTCCCGTAAAGTTTTTTTTTGCAAGTTTTGCAAACTTATTGTGAGGGCTAGTCTGTAGTAAAGGCCACCTCCCAGTTGTATTTATGTCCTTAAGCAGGTAGGGATTTTAGATAGGACCGTCGAACCCTCTCGATGTAGTAGGTAGGAAAAAAAATTTTGTTCGGTCATCTGGTATGACAAAACAATTTTTTTTAGAGGTGCCGGAGGGATGTAACGTCCTCGACGTTACAGCCTCCTTGTTTAAGTAAACTCTTTGCTTTTGCAATGCCTACGGTTGGCAGTTATATTAAAAAGTTAATGTTATGATTTTAATTTGAAATAAGGAATCGTCTGAAGGTTCCATTCTAGATTAGATCTTCAGGCACCAAGAACTTCCTCTCGTATTTAGATAAAATTTCTTTATATTCGCCTGAATGATAAAATAAAATAAATAATTTATCTCTACCAGTATCGTTTAATTAATAAGCACGTCCCCAGGTTCTATCCATTCTGGGTAGAACTCTATAGTACCTATATGATATGCCAAAAGCTGTATTTAAACAACAAATACTGAATACATCGATTCATAATTTGTAACGAAAATAAACAAATGATTTTCCTAGCGGAAACGATGAATTTCATAAGTCAGTGATATTGGGTAGCTTTAATAACTGGATTAGTTCATTGCGCGGAACCCTAATAAAGCGGGACCAAAATCACGTTTGACCAGTTTTTTACTTTCGTATTAGCGCCGCTATTATTTAAAACTATTACGTTACGTATTAATATAAAATTTGTGTATTAGATACTGGATAGATGAACTAAAAGTTGCGCATGCGCCCCTATTGCATGAGCACCGCGGTATGTGTATCCATTGGATATGTAATTACACAGAAATTATGTCCACAACTGTGTCGTGTTTGTTGTACATATTTTTCAAATGTACCATTATGACTTCTCTGAATATAACGTAGATTGCTAAGGAAGCCGATTCAAAGTGATGGAAGTGACAAATTCCGCAAATCGTACTGGCGGAAACATTAGGACGGAAATAAAGAAAAATCACCGAGATAGGAAATCAAAAATAATGGCTCGCACATAATTTTCGTTGCGTGGAAAAAACGTATGCATAACATTAGAATATTCTTATACAGGTAGGTGGAGAAAGATTGAACTTTTATTGAACGTATCAAATATAGGTCATAGTATGATAATTTTAAAAGTAAGAGGCAGATCGAGTTGACTTTTAATTATCCGAAAATAAAAACAGTGTGTTCGTCAAGAGGGTAACCGGCATATTTTTAACCGACTTCAAATAAAAGATCCATGAATTTTTACTCGTAAATTGAATTTTGGGGCAATTTATAAAGACAGATTTTTCCTATTAACATTTGAAAGCTGTGTAATCCCATCCTGAGGTAAAATTTTTAATTTCAATATTTTTGTGATAATTTGAACAAGATTGAGCGTTTAATTTACCTACTGGAAAAAATATTTAAAGAATTTTAAGAGTTGACATATAATTAAATTTTATGCTTAACCAATTACTAGAATAATAAAACAAAAAAAAAATAGGATAAATCCACTAAGCCGATCCAGCCTGATACCGTTTTATTCTAGTAACTGTTTCTTTAGACTGTATAATTTATTTATTTCTTAAGTTTTTAAGCACACCACTTGTTAAATGAAATACGCTTAATTTGAGTTTAAAATGACTTTTTTACAAAGCTTGATATTTAATTTGTAAAATTTTTAAGGGTTTTAAAAATTATCGTTTGTGTCTTTATCATCACCATAATCAGTATATAAACGTCCATTCTGCTGGAGCACAAACCTTCACCATGGATGGCATATGAATAACCGCTGATTAGTCAGTGTCTACGACTGCTGATATTTTTTATTTTCTGGTCGCCCATCCAAGGACCGGCCATTACGAAAGTTGCTGTACTTCCACGATCACTGATACAAAGCACTTACCACTTTACCTGCGCCACAAAGCTCCTCTTAGTGTCTTGTAAGTGAATAATACTTGGATAGTTGATGAAATAAGCTTACAAAAATATATACACATTAAGCGCTCTCAAATTTTGACGGCGGAAACAATGCTCCGGTATCTTTGTGTTTAGGCGACGAATTCGATTTCGTTTAAGATGGACAACCTTTGTTAAAAAAAATCATTTGCTCGGAAAATACCTACAAATAATAAAAATACAATATTATATAGGTAACAACTATTTCCAAGATTTTTATTCGAAGTCACAAATATTTTCAAACACCAGTACATTAATGCATACAATTGTTTTATATAACAAGAAACTATATATTCTTTCATCCGTTATTTGTTTTTAAAAGAACTGGGAGCAAATATAATGATATAAATGAACAGTTTAACCATTACAAAGTTTTAAAGTACTTACCTCTAACGAAAAAAAACGCAGTCATCCAAATAAGGTTTAGAACGAGCGGTGGTATCATGTTGATGATCGGCTCAGATTCTTCTCAGTTTGCGAACACGACACTCCGCCGCCTCATTATCAAACGATACTCTTCAAATCAACCCTACACTTCGAAACTGAATTTCGGCACTCATTACACGAAACATTGCCACGCAATAGGGATTTTGCAAGCCGCCCGCTAAAAATAATGGTGATAAAACCGCAACAAAAACTCGATTTAAGTAATCTATTTTTATAACGTTCGTAAAATATGGTTGACGAAACGAGCGAAAGTCGCGAGTTGGTCTCGTAACAGCCCGCAACGCGTCGGCTTGAGCGACTCGCGGCGCGCCTTTCGTAGCACTGATGTTCGTGACGCTACAATCCTTCGGCTACACCGCTACGATCGGAGCTGCGGAGGGGACGTTGAAGACGCTACTAACACTGATTTTTATTGACGTCGTGGAAGTGAAATTACGAAGCCAGTAAATCTGTGGCTGAGATCCAACTTTATTATGACGATATTAAAATAACCCTGTTACCATAAAAATATAATTCAATAAAATTGTTTTTACCTAATAATTGAATGTAATTAAATGAATAAGGTTATGATAATTATGCCGATATCGTATTACCGGAACAAAGCCACTTCAATTGACATGTGTACGTTTAGGTACCTAGAAAATATGTACAATGCAGAAGCAAGAAGATTGCATCGGTAGCCACCAATAAATCATGCCAAAATTTCTCGCATTTCCTCTCTACGAAGCACTATACATTTATAATATTTATATCCCATAACTCAGTAGAGCTATTTCATTTTCGCCACTTCATGCAGTTCGGTTAAATTCAATTTTAAATATTTATTATGTATTTCGGTTAAATTAAAACAGTGTAATAATATAATAACGATTATTTTGATGATGAGGTGTAAAAAGATACAGATATAGTCGTATCATCATCGTCATCATCATCCTCACCATATTAAGATCTTCACTGCTTCGGCACAGGCCTAAGCTGTGGAATGCTGTGAATACGGAGATTGGGCCATGACCCATCGCCGCGGATCCAGTGCCACTTGGTGGATGCTTCCAAAGCACGGACGGCATGTTTATTAACGTAAAGAAGACGCAAGTGCGGTCCTGCATGGAATATTGCTCGCAGGTCTGCCCCCTTAACATGAGCACGAGTGATATGACATATCGCTTGTTTTTATCACGCACAATTGTCAAATCACTATGGAGTGTGTGTTAGACGTGGTAGAGAAAGTGATATAATCTATAATTTGGTGGTTATGCGATGAGGACTGGGATGGCTACGTCAAGTACTTACTCGGAAACAACTGCCTTGGATAGGTTGCAGCATCGCTCTCAATATCACACGTATTAATAAGGAAATTGCAATTTCTGTATCATAACCACAAGTGACACTGAAATTTAAATTTCCTGGGATAATAGGATTTACTGAAGAATGTTACAATATGTCGTAATCGAAACTTTTATAATAATTAACACGACTAGCCTCTAAGGCTGTCTGCATATTATAAGTTGTCCTCGAATAAGTTTCTTTAGTATATGAAGTTCAGTTTTTATAAATAAAACTAGTTTTTACGGGTTAATGCACGAAACTTTATTTATTTATTGACGTTTCGTAGCCTTTACAGGCTACGTCCTCATAATCAAACTTTTATTTAATTTTTAAATAACCCGTAAAAACTAGTTTTATTTAATGAGTGATGTGCGTGAAAACCTAAGAAACAAATACGTTATTCAGTTTTTATTTTCCTAGAAAAAGACTAACTTTAGACCCGACCTTCTTCAAATTCTGGTCTATATTTACACCTAAAATTTTCAAAACAAATAAAAGGAGTTACCTACTTCCGTATTTTCGCATTTATAATATCAGTATGAATCCCTGCCACTTCGGTTATTAAGAGATTTCGCGTTCAACACATGGGTGTAACTGTTACCCGTTCCATTTCTACGATGTGCATAATTAAGTAGATCCCACATACAATATAGGCGTGTTCCCGAACGGGAATCGAAATTCGTCATGTCACAGATGGCGTCGCCAAAGCGCTATAAGCGGAGATAAAAATAACGAGAATATTTCTATTCATAATTAAGCTCTTAAAGCAGAATAGGACTATAAAAAAGTCTTTATCGTTAAATTAAAAAAAAAACTTTGAACAGTTTAAAAAGTGGTAATCTGTAAGAGACTGAAACTTCAAGTATCTATTGCTCTAGTGTTCCCATTCCCGTGAAATACTCGGAATCTGATTATTTGCATTTTCTATGTCACGAACGCGAAAGCCTGATTACTCACGTTCGCAACCTGAGGATCTTATGCGATAGATATTACTGTAATTGTAATTTTAAAGCCATATTCTCCTGTCTACGAAAAGAAAAAAATCACTTTCAAAATATAAAAAAATATATTCAGTATAATTTGAACCCGATTCAAATTTTATCGATACAAACGACAACGAACTGCTCATCCTACAGAGCAGTTCGTTGTCGTTTGTATTGTAATAATCGCACAATCGACACCAGCTTATAATAATGTGCGTTGAAGACGCGTTTAAAAACGTGGTGTGCATTGATACGCGCGTTTGAATCGAATATGACGTGTCGCGCGTTTGAATCGGTACAAACGACAACAAACACGCCTTCGACGGCGCTTTTTTTTATGTTAAAATGGTGGCAAAGAAGCGTATGACCCGTGTGATGGTTAGCGGCCACCATAGCATATAGACGCTTTCGATACTAAAAATATCACTTTCACCGTTGCCTAGTGTGATCCAATCCCCTACCCCATGGAGCCCTGGAACCTTACTCACCAGAAACACAACACCATTCCTCTAACACAGGCGACAAACACCAACACTACACAGCTAGCAAACGTGGCGTAGCATTACTAAATTGGACAATGAAAAGAAGCAACTTTAGTCAATTTTGTCATTATCTTATTTATATTTAAACATAATTGCCGATAGCACTTTGCTGGCCTTATTATATGTATAGATCTTATATATAGTTGAAGCAGCGTAGTCTTTTTTCTTTAACAAATCAATTAAAGAGCATTATTTTTATTTTGATAAAGTGAAAGAGATAAACAAATGCAAATTCCCTTCTATTAAGTGACAAAAGAATTAAATATATATCAAATTGAGTCCACCTTTGATTAAAATATTTCATTACATAGAAATTGAGTTTCAAAGCAAGTGGATCTTGAGTCTCTACATAATAAGTACCTAATCAATAAAAGTAAGAATCTTAATAATTTAGTTTGACTACGTAAACGCTTTCTTAGCTATACTGTCATCTATTCCCATTCAACATTGAGATATCCATCAAAATCATACTTACCAGGATTATTTTTATCTTTTCCATAACACTAAAAATCTATCCTATCTATATGCAATTATATCTTGATTTATATAATTCCCATGAGAATATAAATTGAACTATTATAAAATAAGGAGCAGAAAAAGTCGATCATATATATAACACAAGCTTATAGTGCTTACTTTGGGCCTAAGCTAATTTAAGTGAGTGTTGGAAATATTTATTTATTTATTTTTATATCATAAATAAATGAATATTGACTTAAGAACATCATCCTAAATATTCATTCAGCAATAAGTTGGATGATCATGTTCAAGACAATTGGATTAGCGAAAACCAAAGTAGGTCTCAACAAACAATCTGCAAATTGTGCCAATTCAAAGCATTTAGGCACAAAAACATTAATATTTCATCAGGTATTCCAAACAGAATACTTAATCTAATACCCTCAAAGTGGCAATCGGAGAAGGAGCTACTATTAATATTTGTCAACCGGCATTCATTTCCCTATTAAATACAAGGAATATCACTTACAATAATCGCTATCATAAGCTTGGAGATTCAAATCCGGAGGGATTTATCTAGCTGTGGCAACTGTCGTTTTGTAACTTTCGTGATGTTTCAGGTTGTAAAACAGTTTATTACGATGGTAGTATGTGATATTAACGAGCATTAGGTCGAATGTCAAGTCAGCTTCGACGACAAACTTTTGTTTTCTTTATTGCCGTGTGATGTAACTACTGCTTTTAAAAAAAGCTGTTTTCTCGGTAGGATTTCTCCAGACTTTTTTCTATGCGAAAATTATGTCATTATATCTGCATTTGTTTCTCGTCGTAGATTATGTAAAACGTATCATATTAATACTAGCCGACCAAGCGAACTTCGTACCGCCATAAAATTAGAGGTTGGCGATAGAAGGCCGAAACTTTATTTAAGTATATTTTGATGCCAATCCATGAAAAGGAGATTGCTCAGCTTCCAGATCCATCGCATAGTGGAGCACGCCCTAAGCGGCTTCCAACTTAACAAATATAAAACTATTGCAGTCTTCTTCGACGTCGCCAAAGCCTTCGACAAGGTTTGGCACGACGGATTAATCTTTAAATTATATCAATTAAAATTACCTGACCGCCTAGTTAGGTTAGTAGCCTCTTTTCTATCAAACCGCACCTTCCGCTATAGATACGAAGGTTCACTATCTACGCCCCGCCCACTACGAGCCGGTGTACCGCAGGGGTCCGCTCTCTCCCCCCTGCTATACACAGCGTACACCAATGACATCCCTCAGACCAAGGGTGTCAAGCTCGCTCTCTTCGCGGACGACACGGCCCTCTACTCTAGGGGAGCCAGTACAAATCAAATCATAGCCAAGCTCCAACCGGCAATCACAACACTTGGGAATTGGTTCCGCGATTGGAGAATCGACGTAAATCCGGACAAAAGTTCGGCCATTTGCTTCGATCCCAAGCGCCGCACCAAAACCATACAACACGGTGCGCGGTCTCTGCGAATGCAAGGCATAGCAATACCGTGGCACCGCACAGTCAAATACCTAGGGATCACACTAGACAAAAAACTCACCTTCCGTGCACACATCACACGCGTAGTCGCGAACGCGCGCTTTTATATGAGCCGCCTCCACCCGATGCTCGGTAAATACAGCAAAATGTCACTTCGTAACAAGCGAACGCTTTACAAAGTTTGCATACGCCCGGTCCTCACTTACGCGTCACCAGTGTTCGCACACGCGGACGAAGCGATTTTGAACAAACTTCAAGTGCTTCAAAATCGCTTCTGCCGCATAGCCACAGGGGCCCCGTGGTACGTCCGCAACGCGGACCTCCACAGGGACCTACAACTCGACACAATTCAAACACACCTCACAGAGTGCTCGGAACGGTTCTTCAAAGCTGCAGAAGAGCACTCTAACACACTCATTAGATCGGCGTCGGGATACGCTCCACACACTCCATCTCGATTCAGGCCCCGCAGGTCCAAACACGCACTCACAGCCACACACAATAAACTCACGCGCGATCTCGCGGCCCTCTTGGCCG